TGGTCTTTCAGAAAATAGGTCATGTTGATCCTCAGATTGTCAGCTATCACTCACTCACTCACTGTCCATGCTTCTCATGTATGCGCAAATGATAGATCTGTCTGTTTGAAGAGGGTGCGCAGAAATACACATTTAAATTTGTTGAGTGACAGTTTAAGTTAACTGTTGTAATTGAGTTACTTATTGGCTGGATGATTTTTAATTGGATGAACATTTTTTAGTATCATGCCTTACCCAGAATATAAAAATACAAATAAACATACTTAGATCATTTACTTTAATTATTACGATCAGAATGTGAAGAGACTTTTAACCAGCACAAAAAAATAAAAATTTCTAAAGACAATATCCTACTGTACCTTTACCTAAATAATTAGCCTCTTCTGTTTTTTCCTTCCTCTCCATTTATCCTTTTATGTTTATTTTCTTCATTACATTATGTTATTGTGTTTGGAATCAGGGATAATTAAATTAAATATTTTAAATAATTTAAATAAATGTAAAAAATATAATATATATATATATATATATATATATATATATATATATATATATATATATATATATATATATTTATATATATATATATATATATATATATATATATATATATATATATTTGAACAGTATAATAAGCTAATTTGCATATCTGCAGTGCTACAAAACTATTCCCCTGAAGTAAATGATTATATTGGTTATTATATGGTTGCACTTTACTATAAGGCATTTGTACAGCATTTATTAATTATAGTTCAACATTTACTAATGTATTATTATCATGCAAATTCATGCTTGTTAACATTAGTTAATGCACTGTGAGTCAAAAAACCAACGGACAACTGTAATTTCATAAACAATAGCGTTAACTAACATAAACAAATACTGTAATTAATATATTTTTTGTTCATGTTTATAAAGTCATTAACTAACACAAACAAATGCAACTTAAATTTGTGTGTGTGTGTGTGTGCGTGCATGCGTGCTTGTGTGTGTATTTGTATATTTATTTTTACATAGTCTGCATTTTTCTGAAATTGTACAGTACATTTGAGAAAGGAATTATGAAATACATTTTGGATTTATAAAAGCAGTTCACATAAACCAGCTTGTTTATAGTTCTATCCTTCAAACGGGAGTTAAAGGACTAAACTCTTTCCCTAAATTAAATGGTTATGCTGATTATGTTTTTAAAATATTTATTTATAGTTTGGATATTTTTAATTTATAATAATTGAACAGAATCAAGCCTATTGCATGTGTGTTTGCATTTGTTTGTTTATTTTGTTGCATGAGGGAAGTTGAAATTTGGCACACAGTTTCTTTGGTGCAAGTAGTGCAAATCTTAAAGCCAAATTTCACCAGTTTTAGGAAATGAGGGGGGCGCTATAACTTAAGAAAAAAAAAAATCTCTGAACTGAGATCAAATAACTTGATCCACAAAAATTGTATCCACATGATCTGTCCTTTCAGACTTTTGCTATTGCGGCCCAGTCTGCTTGGACACGAGTTGTTGCCACTTGTGGAAATATTTTAGAAGTAATTGCACAGATGTTGGCAAACGAGTACATATTAATACTGTCAGTAAGGTCTCAGATGGTGTGCGGTTTAGCCACAGCTACCAGCACACAAAAACCACACATAACAGGCCACTATAAATCCCCTTTACGTAGACACACACACGCCACAAAGCCACGGCAAAGGAAAACTTTAGCTAGTCGCCTGCTGCTCTCTTTCTCTTTTTCTCTGTAGAACTATACACTATAGCCCTTTGGATGGCAGTTGTTTGTCTTGGGGACCTAAAAGGTCCTTATAGCTTATCAGAAAGTGAAAAGAAAAACTTAAAACATTTGCAGTGGATGTTTGAGTTTGTAATGAGGTTAAATATTTAATTCACAAGATTTCTAGAATTAATAAAACTCAGTTAATGTAGACTAATGGACATGTTGGTTTGAAATTTTGGATGCAATTTTAAATACATAGGAATTATAAGGAAAGGATCTAACGCAAACTCTCAAAATAAAATGGTTCATATGGTATTGCAAATAATGTACTGTAATAATATATATATAGAAAAATCTATAAAAAAACAGAAAATGTACTGAAAGTTTTTTACAAGGTTTCTATAACATAATTAAACACCAACCCAGACAATGTATCACTTTAAAATATTAAAAATGTTAAAAAAAGTCATCTTTTCAAACTTTTTAAGGTTAGAAGTTGTCGGAAGATCAAAGACCCATAATGCAAATTAAAAGCAATTTTTTATTTTTTTTTCAAAAAACATGAATCACAAAATGCGGACAACTGCTAATTTATGGATATTTTTTACAGTGCAGGTAGTGAGAGAAAAAGACAGATGTTTTTTTTTTTTTATTCGGACAGGAATAAAATCTCCAGCCATCTTGAAAATAAAAAAAAAACATCCAAATAGGATGTTTATAGCCAAATATGATTATTTTTAATGTTTGTATTGCACAATGATTGCTACAGTAAAGTACTTGAAAGTCAGTTAAATTACAAATATATTACTAGAAATTGACTTTGGTTTAAGTAAAAGTCACTGTTTTGAATATTGTATTGAAGCCTGTATGAAAGCACTGATTACTATACGGTTCTATACCACCTTAAAGGATATATTATCCAATTGATGTCCAAAGAATAGGAGAAGAGTAAAGAGGTCATACACAAATTATTTTGTTCAAACAATGTATCAATTTCTTTATGATTAGTGTGTAAACATAATCATCACAATACAAATCAAATAAAATAGCGTAGGCCCACGTAAATGAAAACAATTATCATATAAGATGACAATAATTACAGTACTGTAAGGTTGTAATATAGTGGGGAAATAAATCCCAATAGTTTCAGAGGACTTATAAACAGAAAGGTCCAGCGATCACTTGTAATATGGTGAAATAAGTCCCAATAGTTTCACAGAAAAATCCACCTCATAAACAGAAGGTCCAGCGATCACTTCAGCAGTCGATCAATAGTAGTGATGTCATCAGCCAGTGTGCAACATTTGCCGGGATCTTCATTTGCAATGAATGTATAATGTATAATGAGTGATTGTGTAAAAGCAAGTGATCAGATTAAGTTAAATGTTGCTGTAAATGTTCATGCAGTAGCGTGTGATTTTGTATGTATGTGTGTGGTTGTTTCTTCAATGACGCACATCATAAAGTTCTGTCAAACTCTGAAGTAATCACACCACATCTTCCTGTCATCTGATAGGATTCAGTCAAACTGCCTTCTCTGAGGATGCTGTGATTGCAATCCTAACAGTTTGTTGGCTTTAACTCTCGAAACTGGCGACTGAGCATCACGATGCGCACCTGCCTTTCTCTCTGTTCCTCTTTCATTACTGTGTCGAACACTTTCACTTTATTCATTAAACTCGCGAGCGGACCTTTTAACCACGCCCACATAATAACAAAACAGGTAAAGACTAAATGTACAGTTAGAAAACAAAATAATTAAACAATCTTTTGTACAAATATCACTTGAGTAAAAGTTTTAAAGAATCTGATATTTATCATTTTTAGCTTAACTTAAATTTTTACTATTAAATAAGGAAAGTAGAAGTACATGTAAATGCTGTAAATAAAATAAAAGCTTAATCTTTTTTAATATAACAATGTCAAAAGCCAATAAATATTTACATTTTTTTTTGTTTCAGCGTGTAGCATTATTCTGCTCAGTTTTTACACTCAAAAAAACAAAAAACAAACCTTGGATTAACTGAATTTAATTGAGGGCAGGATTTCCATCCAATAAGTTTGTTTTGCACCAACTAAATAAAACAATTTACACAATTAAATGCAATTGACTTGGTCCAACATGATTTTATCAAATAAAAGTTTAAATACTTTGTATTTTTATTTAACTTAAACTGAAATGACTGATAATATCATGTATGTTCATTATGTGTTGTACCTTTCAAAGTCTTTTTGTTTTATTTGAAGTTATCCAAAATAAACTAAAATAGCCATTTTTAAGCATATTTCATGAGTTACATATACAATAAATTACGACTGATCTCAGAACTCAGAAGACAGTTATTGCTGACTGAGCAAAGCCATAAACTGCATTTTTGCTAATTAAGCTGCAAACACCTAAAGGATGGCTGCTTCTAAAAGGTGGTCATCTCAAAACTCAAAGCATTACATGAAACTCTTCTAAACCTCCAAACTAAAATGAAGAATAAACTTTAACAAGTCTTTCTATTAACTTTAAACACTTAAGATTACTTGTTTTGTCAACATTTTCCTTTCTTAATACATCCCACCCAAAGCATGTTGGGAACTACAAAAGCCCATAACCAGGTAGTTGGACCAACACAATTCCTTCAAGTTATCCCAATCCAAAACTCTTAAGTTAACTTAATGATTTACAAATGTAAGAGGACTGAACATAAAACAAAAGAATTGACCAAAGAAATTACAAGAATTGTGTTGTTTCTGCTCATTGTAAACAGGTTGAACAAGCAGCACTAATCATTTAGTCACACTTTATTTTGATGGTCCGTGTGTTGAATTTAAGTTCAGTTGAATCTACTAGACAACTAATTCTCATTAGATTATACGTAGACTGGAAGGTTTGGATTAGGGTTACGATTAGTGTAAAGTTTGCAAAGTTTCTTATAGTCAGTTAAATGTCTGTTAAAGGAGCAGTATCAACAGATTGTAAGCAGACAGTCTATTAATATTCAAATGGACCATCAAAATAAAGTGTTACCAATCATTTTTTTTGAGTGTACATTAAGTTTTTGAATTTTTTTTTTATTAAAGCTAAAATGTTTGGTAGAATTGTTATAATTTATGAAAGAAATGTAGTCCAGTAAAAGTGAAATTTGCCAGAATAGTAAAAAGTACAGATATTCACAACAAATACTTAAGGGCTGTATAATTACTTCATTACATTACACCATTGCATGTGTCCTGGAAGTAATTAGCAATATGATGTTTTTGTTCTGAATTGTCCTGTTGTGTATTTTAGAGATAATCGATGACCTCGCTCAGCTTGTGGACAAGACGGACGGCCGCATCAAAAACGAGACAAAAAGAGTCAAGCTGTTGGATAGCAAGTCTGCTTCCTGTGGTGAGTTTTCTGCCTCTGTAGAGCCACTGGTTTAATGTACTCGACATCAGGAGCCCAGCAACAATAAGCCTGTCCATCGTTCAGATTTATGGCCATCTCTTTCTCTCTCTCTGTCACTTTTCTCCTCCCTGCTGCGTCTAGAGAAGTCTGCAGAAGTGAAGGGATTTAAAGCCACTGCCTGTAAATGGCAAAGTCAGATCTGAACATTATGGTCAGTCTCAGTGCTCTCACAGGCCCATCTGCATGTGATCTGTGAGTTTGTTATTGGAGCGGCACTAAAGGTGAGATCAGACTGAGACATTTAGAGAGGTCATTCACACAGATTTCTGGAAAGTTCTGCAAGACATTATTTTACATCCGAGCACTTCAGGGTACTTTCTTTTATGGCACCTTTTTTGTGTTAAAGGGATAATTCATCCCAAAAAATGTTTCCATCATTTACTTACCATTATGTTCTTTTGAATGTTAAGACTTTTTTTTAGATTTTAAAGAGTATCACACATGACCTTTTTTAGTATAATAAAGGGAAACGAGGACCAAGCTTGTCCAGCAACCTTGAGAAATACTCATCAGCTTTTATTGAAATTTGAACAAAAACGTTAGAATTGGCCAAGTTTATGAAGAATTTCGGGCTTGACTGTAAACACAGTGATGTGAAAATGTGTTTGTCCCTTACTGATCTCAATTTTAATTTATTTTTTGCATGTAAAGAACGTCACACATGCTCATTTTTTTAATAAGGGTGAAAAAGGGCATATATATATATATATATATATATATGTATATGTATATGTGTATATATATATATATATATATATATATATATATATATATATATATATATATATATATATATATATATATATATATATATATATCCATATCCCACTTGAATTATTAGCCCCCTTGTTTATCCCCCCACCCACCCATTTTTGTTTAACGGAGAGAACATTTTTTTTAATACATTTCTAAGCATAATAGTTTTAATAACTAATTTCTAATAACTGATTTATTTAATCTTTGCCATGATGACAGCACATAATATTTTATTTTTATATTTATATTTACAGCTTAAAGTGACATTTAAAGGCTTAACTAGTTGATTAGGTTAACTAGGCAGGTAAGGGTAATCAGGCAACGTATTGTATAACGATGGTTTGTTCTGTAGACTCTGGAAAAAATATATAGCTTAAAGGTGATAATAATTTTTACCTTAAAATGGTTTTTAAAAAATAAAAACTGCTTTTATTTTTGCCGAAATAAAACAAATAAGACTTTTTCCAGAAGAAAAAATATTATCAGGCATACTGTGAAAATTTCCTTGCTCTGTTAAACACCATTTGGGAAAAAAGAAAAAAAAAATCTAAGGGTGGCTAATAATTCTGACTTCAACTGTATCATATCATTCAAAACTTTATCTATCATGTTTATGATCTGCCCCTCATCCTTTAATATTACTGATTGATTTATCAGATGATTTATCATAAGAGAAATATTAACAAAAAGATTTTCTTCATGGAGACCCATCTAAAAAAAACGACAATCAATAATTAATTTTGTATAAATACAAGTTTTAAACTGAAACATTGTACATGAAAGAGCAGGTTCTCTGTAACCTTTAAGACAAGCACGTCGCATCAGAAATGAATTTCACGTTGTACGCGTCACCATCGCATTTGTACGCATGACTTAAATTAATGCTTTTTGTCTCCCAAATGTATATAATGAAGAGAACAATAAAATAACGATATCAACCGGTTACCTGTAAATGTTTCTATTCAGAACGATTAAAGTTGATCTTGTTTTCAATTTTTTTTTTTTTTCTGTTGCTGCAAAATGTCATTCTTTTCCGTTTTTTGTTTACATTCCTTGGACCAGTTCAGAGCCCTGATTTTAAAATACTCTTAAACATACATGGTATGAGTATATGGGGACATTAGTTTGGTTGTATACCCTTGTAATTTGCAAAATAGTCTTAAAAAGCCAACTTGAAAAAGAATAAAAAATAGTGAATCGTGATTTCTCCAGAAAAAATCGTGATATGATATTTTTTCCATATCGCCCACCCCTAGTCAAAGTCTTGCTGTGGCATGACCTTAAAAAGGCAGTTCATGCTGGAAAATCCTCCAATGTGCTGAATTACAGCAATTCATGCACCAGAAGTGTTTTGCAAAACAATATGAACACAGTCAGTACATTGTATTTATATTCTGATGAAAGTACATACAGCGCTCCGCATAAATGAGTACACCGCTCACAGATCTCTTTTGAATAGTCTATAGTAAACAATGATGATGTTTTACAATGATGTATTTGAAACTAATTAATATGTTGAGTTTTTTAATAAATAGGAAACATTAAGAGGCATAAACAAAATAACATAAACATATATATATATATATATATATATATATATATATATATATATATATATATATATATATATATATATATATATATATATATATATATTAGCTATAATCACTGAAAAATAGATAAAAATGTCCATTTTAAAATGGGCTGTACTTATTTATGTTGAGCACTGTAATGGTTAAGGCCACTTAATATGAAGTTGGACCCAAAAAGCCAGTAACTTCTTTTTATTTCAGTAATTTCTTTTTTTTTTCACTTGTATTTGGGTCAATATTGCAGCTAAGCACAGTAAATGATGACAAAAATTTCATTTACGGTTGAACTATTCCTTTAATTGCATTTTCTGTGATGTGATAACTAACTACAGCCTCTCAGATTTCTGAAGTTCTGTGTAAGCCAACCATGTCTGGAGCACTTAAATCATTTCACATGTGGTAAATGCTGAAGCGTGTCTGCATACTCAAGCAGCAAACACAAAATATCTGTCTTCATCAAACTCTTCATTAAAGGAGCAGTTTCATCAAAACTTCTTTAATGTATAATTTTCAACTGATGTTCAACTAGTCCTGTTTTCCCAGAACAGTCCCATATTTATAATGTCCCAAAACTAACCTGTTTTTGTCTTGTATTTGATATTTCCTAAAATGTCTTCATTTCTAAACATTAGTAGCAGTCATTTTCGATTTCACACAGTATCAATATTTGAGTAATGCCTTACAGTAAGTTTCATTAGTTAACATAAACTAAGAAAGACCAATATTCTGTAGCATTTATTAACACTAGTTAGTCTAATACTGTATATGAACTAACAGTTATCTGTATTTTCATTAAGTAAAGTTAATAAAGACAGAGGTTCCTTTTTCGTTAATGTTAGCTAATTTATATCATCTAATGCAATGTTATTGTAAAGTTTTATCAAAATTATTTTACAATAAATGCTGATGATGTGTTTATTAGATGTTAGAATGTTTAACTTTTTAAATTAAGACTCCACAAAATACATTTTATCCACTTGCCATTTTTGTTTTTGTTTCCCTGTTTTTGTTTTTATTTGTTTCTAAGACTTGAATTGAAAGATGGGGGTTTTATGGCCCTTTAAAAGTATAACAATTTGTCAGTCTTTTTTTATTTTTTATTAAATTATAAGTCTTTTAGAAAAAAAAAACGAATACATACGTACAACAATACATTTACATGGAAATGTAATTATTTTTTGTCAAATAAGATCCTAATATGATACAGCTTATTTCCCAACTTTAAATGTAAACTTTATATTTTAGAATGCTTTCTCTTTTAATAAAAGCACATTTTTGGTATGTAGTTATATATTAAAAAAAGTATTCTCTTTTCCTTTTTTGCTTAATTTTTACCCGTTCACAACATTCCTGTGCTATACAGAAAAGTAAGAGCAGCTACTAAATATCACATTCTTCTGCAGACAAAATAAAGTCATGCTTCTGCTGTTGTTCTCCATGGAAGGGAGTACATGGTAAGTAAATGTCTGCGTATTTAAAACTTTGGGTGGACTAACGAAGTAATACTGGTGTCTTTGGGTGAGGAGACATGATCAACCAGTCTACTCTCACTTCCAATCATTGTTTTGTTGTTCTTTATACACGCATGATAAACGTCAACTAGGACAATTGTCATTCTAGCTGTTGTTTAAACTGTTGTTGACACACCACCAGTATTTCTCTGTTTACATCAAGACAAATAAACACAGCGTTAGAAAACATGGAATTGATTATACATTCATTTTTCTAATAATCATTAACATGTGAAGAGTGTGAATATTTAAACTCGTGATTCTTCTATAGCGAGAGCCAGTTTGGCTGCATAAAGATGCGTCTTGAATTTTCTTGGGAAATAAATGCATTGCCACTTCTAGTCTGCTCCTCTAATGTGACGTATAATTGCATTTGTTTGTCCAGAGGACTCCACAGACTCAAGTTTGTTTGCGGATCCCAGAGTCACATTGATTGTCTTTCTGGCTCCTTTATTTCTCCAGGCCTCTTCTTCTCATTCCGCATCTGCTTTTAACACCTAACCATATTCATGTATTCTGTAAGGAGGGGGTGAAGGGAAGGGCTTGATGAATGGAAAAATTCCTCACTGCCTTGTCGTTCGTACCCCACTTTTTTTTTCTTCTTCTTTTCTTTCAACTTCTGTTCTCTGACTCACTTCACTCCTCACATTTCCCAAGATTGTTTGACACTTGTCTGTGTCTTGTGTAAAGAAATGGTTGAAAATGTAACATGCCACAGCACTTTTATGGTTTTTGATCACTCACTTCAACATCTATTTAGTATTTATCTGCTGTGGTGTTTTTTTTTTTTATGTTTAGTGTTCATGTTATGCTGTGTTTTTTTAAGAGTATGGTTACATGTAATATCAGATGTTTTGATTGATGGATCAATGACAAGACTTCACATTTTAGTGTCTGCTTTTAACAATTTAAAGTGTTTTATAAACATATGGAGAACATATTAAGTAGAAATGTCTAACTTATTTTAAATTTTTACAGCTAAAGTCAAAATTATTAGCCCTCTAGGGAATTTTGAATTCTTTTAAAAGTATTTCCCAAATGCTTTTTAATAAAGAGTTTTTTTTTTTTTCAGCACATTTTT